GAATTTGAGACAACATTTCATTTCAAGTTGAGCGGCACATTCCATCCCCAGGTAACCCATTCCAGTGCTTCACCCTGGATGCCCTGACTGCAGAGGCAGTTCTTAAATGCAACAAGGTTTGAGCTGCTTGCAGCTTTGCATTTGGGACAGGGAGTTTGTTATAATAAGAGGGAGTCAGAATGACAAAATTAAGAATAACAAAAGGCTGGGCATTCAAGGATTGTTAGATCATCATAGAAACATTGCTGGTACTTCACTTAAAAGTTGGGAAGAAAAGAGTAGCAATGGGTGTTGTGCTGCTGGGGTTTGCATTTGTATCACTGCTGTTAAACTAATAAATGTTCTTGATAAAGGATAAACAGTAACTAATCCAAAGCTGACTGCAAAGAGTTACAAAGGGATCTCAAAAAACTGGGTGATTGGGCAATACAAGGGCAGATGGAATTCAGTATCAACAAATGCAAAGTATATGGAAAAATTAAATCCTAACTTAAGGATACCAAAATGACTGGGTCTAAATTAACTGTTACCACTCAAGAATCCTTGTGGATAGTTCCCTGAAAACATCTGTTCAATGTGCAGTGGCAGTCTTAAACCTAAAAAGGTAACAGAATATTGGGAATCATTAGGAAAGGATCAGTGGTTCCCAAACTTTTCGGCATCACGCCCCCTTTTTGATTTTTGAGAACCACCCCCCCCCCCAAAAAAAAATAGCAGCAAAGCTTGTTGAGTTAAAAAAAACTGACCAGGGACAAAAAACAAAAATAGCAGCAAAACTTGGAAGGGGGGGAATTGACGGGGGTGGTGGGGAGGCTGGGTCACTTCGTGTCCCCCCTGGAATTTCAGCACGCCCCCCAGTTTGAGAACCCATGGAATAGATAAGCCTCTATATAAAGTCATTGTGTGCCCACATCTTTAATACAGTATGCAAATCTGGTCACCCCATCTAAAAAAGATCTATTGGATTTGGAAAAGGTACCGAAAGGGCAACATAAATGATTAGGGGTAAGGAACAGCTTCCATATGAGGAGAGATTAACAAGACCAGGACTTTTCAGCTTGCAAAAGAAATGACTAAAGGAATGGGGGGATATGTTAGATATCTAGAAAATCGTGAATGGTGTGGAAAAATAGAATAAGGACATGTTATTCATTCCTTCACTAATAACAGAAGAAGCTGATCCAATTTATAGACAGCAGATTTAAAACAAACAAAATAAACTATTTTTTCCACAGTTAACTTGTAGAGCTCTTTGCCAGGAGATGGTGGAAAGTCCCAAACTATAACAGGATTTCAATAAGAACAGAATAAGTTCAAGGAGGGTAGGTCTATCAATGGCTACTAGCCAGGATAGGCAGGAGTGGTATCCCTAACTTCTGTTTGTCAAAAGCTGAGAATGGGCTACCAGGGATGGATCATGATGATTGCCTCTTTTGTATATTCCCTCTGAAGCACCTGACATTGGCCACGATTGGAAGACAGGATACAGGGCTAGAAGGACCATTGGTCTGACCCAGTGTGGCCATTCTGATGTTCTTATATAGAGCTGAAATATATCTGCCCCCTGCTGTAACCCGCTAGATCCCACACCCTTTCCAGAGCTGAGATAGAGCCCAGAAGTCCTGATGGAGTCTCTTGCTCTTCACAGAGTTAGTAACACAGTACAAATATATATTAAAATTTTAAGGCTAACCAGTGTCTCTTAGTGACTTGCCACAAGATGTCAGAATATGTTAGTGTTAGAATGGAATGGGTCTAATCTTTATTTAATTTTTGTTCTTTTATATAGGAATTAGAAACAGTGCTCCTGTCACCTAACTGCTAAGTTGTCTGCTAAAAAAAATTGAGTTTTTCAGTGCCTTGGTAGCCCCTGCATAGAGATGATGTGTTGGGATGGGGAGGGGAAGGCAGATGGAATTGGTTCCCCTCCCTGATTTGGTGCTTGGCTTGTACTGAGCATGCTCGGTAACATTGCTGAAACTTCTGGCCTCAATCTGCCTCCCAGGCTCTCACTCTCCCCCCTCCCCATCACTGCATGTACAGGTCGGCCCCTCCCCACCAAAATCTGAAATGGCACTAGGGTTACCAAATGGTTTAAAAAAAATACCGGACACACTTGATTTCAGATCAGGGGTGGGGGGAAGGGACTGGCCGGGAGCACAGATGATTGCACAGACCAGACTGGATCTGGTTTCTTAGTCCTGGGAATCTGATCCCCCGTCTCCACTATTCATAGTACATTTAAAAGAAAAAAAATCTGGGAGTGGCACAAAAATCTGCCTGTTTATCCCTTTAGTTCTGCTATACCTACGAAGGGGCTAGATCGGGGTCTTAAACTTGACTTGTCTTAAGGCCACGGACAGTCCTCAAATCCCCGCTCTGGTAGGGCCCTGGGAGGTAGGGTTACCAGATGACTTCAAAAAAAATACCGGACATACTTGATCTCAGATCTGGGGTAGGGGAGAGGACTGGCCAGGAGGAGATTGGGGGGAGTAGGGCTGGCCAGGGAAGAACCGTCCGGTGGGAAGCGGGGCTGGTCAGGGCAGATGGGGGGGGCGGGGAACCGGCCGACGGGAAGCAAGAGCTGGGGGAGAGAATCAGCTGGTGGGGAGCGGGGTTGTCCCGGGCGCACGCAGATCCTGGGGTGCTGCCCATCATGCGCACAGTCCCGGCGGGGCACATAGGCAAGTCTGGCCCCGGGGATTCCATCCTGCCCCACCCCCTCCTCTCAACTGTGTAGTTGCGTACTGATACTCATGATAGTAATAAAAACGGAATTAGAAAATACCGGATGTTTATATGTCCAGTATTTTCTCAATTTGTTTCCCGGACAGAAAGCTCAAATACTGGACTGTCCAGTTCAAAACCGGACACCTGGCGACCCTAAATGGAGCCCCTGCCTAGGGACTCCCCAGGAATACTAGGGAAGCCGGAAGTGAACTGGCAGGAAGCTACGAGAGCCAATGAAAACAGTGTGGGCTTTTCAACTGGAAACAGTGACCTTCCTGCTCCTGCTGTTGTGTATCCAGAGCAGCCTTGCAGGACATGAAACAGGCCAGGGAGCCCTACATTCCCACCTCCTGTATATTTGCTACTTCTCCCCCTCCTGCAAGGGACCCCCCAACAGGCCCCCCAATGACCCCTACCTGAGCTGGCTTCTCTGCAGCCATTTCTCTGCCCTGCGCCATGGGAGGCTGGAACGGGCTGGAGCGACACAGGTCATGGTTCTGCAGCCTGGAAGAGTGATGGGGAGGTTTCAGAGCAGGGTTCAGTTCATCTCCCATCATGTTGCCCCCAGGCTCTGTCCCTGCAGACACACCCCTGGATCCTGCCACACTGGGAAAATGCTGAATCTCTTCATCCCAATGTGGATGTGCCCCTCCTCACACACCAGGCTGGGCCCACAGAGACATTTTAACTCCCTCAAACCTCAGCCCCCAGTAAAAAAAAAAAGTTTCTGGGCAGAAAACTAGAAAAACACAGAACCAAAGGGATCATTTTGGGGGCAGCCACACCCCAGCAGGGGGAATTTGGAGCCTGGAACTGGCTTTTCCTCTCCACTCTCACCTTGGTCACTGGAAAACATCCCTGCTGAGTGGTTCTGCACCACGTGTCTCTGGGTTGTGATGTATTTCTCCCACTGCCCCTTTCACTCCCTAGTTCCTCTTTCCCCTTCTACCTCCTTCCCCTGTTCCCGCCCCTCCGCTGGGAAAGCCCCATCCCTGGGCTGGCTGCTCTCCCATGACTGGATTTGCTCCTGCAGTTGCTAATGGAAAGATAAACGAGGAGGGGGTATTTGGGCAGAGTCACCCTCATGGCTGTCCGCAACACTTTCCCTGAGCTCTCTCATTTACCCGGAGTCGGTGGCTCAGAATTCAGTATTAGTGCAGCCTGAGGCTGCCCTGGGAGGCTCAGACCAACTGGAGAAAGCCCTCCCCTGGGCACAAAGGAAGTTTTAATTAAGGTCATTACCCCAACGCTGGCACAGCAGCTGCTGAGCCTGGTCTCCCTGATCACAGTGGAGGCTGAAGCATCTGAGCCAGGAAGCCAAACCCCAAAAGCCTGTGGAGAGAGGGATAGGGTTGGAGCAGTAACCACAGTTGTTTGGGACAGCTGCTAAAGCCATAGTCATGCTAGCCATTAGCCACATGTGGCTATTTGGCCAGTTGAGTGTGGCTAGTTCGCTATAGCAACTGGTTGGACACCATGACACTAAAGAGATGCCCCCTCCACTCCCATGCCTGGATAGAGCCCTGTGCAGTGACACAATTGGTAGCCACACCTGGCAAAAGCGTGGTGGAGATTTGCACCCACATCCGTAGATCCTGCTACCCACGAGGGCAGGGGGCTGGACTTGAGGACCTCTCAAGGTCTCTTCCCATTCTAGTGTTCTGTGACTCTACCCACCGCTGTAGAGAGATTACGGCTGATTTGCAGGGCTCTAGAATCTAGACACTAAATCTGTATCCACCGAAACGAGCCAGGGATGCGATGAGTCCAGGCTACAAAGCTGCTCATGGTTCTGCTGACCTTTCACAGGAAAGAACAGCAGAATGGCTTTCCACAAGCCCAGTGCTTTCAGAGCAGGGGTAGTGATGCAAATCGTTCCCCGCTCCTCCCGCACTCACTGTAAGGAGCTTGGGGCAGGGCAGTGGCATGTGGAATCTGGGAGTTTCAACCCTGTAAAAAGCAGGGCACAAAAATCTGCTACCAAGCAAGGGCGGGGGGAAGGGCAGCGGCTTCAGCACATGGGACGGAGCATGTTCAGTACAGCCTAGGTAGCTAGTTAAGCCACATTACATCTCCACCGCCCTCCCATGACTGCAGGGAGCTCGGGGCCAGGGGATTGACCTGCATCTGCCCCTCCCCACGCACACACCCTACAAGGAGCTGGGGCAGGGGGGTGGGACTTGCAAAGCACCATCTGCCCTCCCCACGCTACTTCCCTGCTGCAGCACCCGCGGGCGGGGCGGTCTGTGCCACCCCCCTGGCCCTGCGTGGGTTGGGGCCCCGCCCCCTCCGCTCCTGCCCTCACAGTCAGGCAGGGACCGGCCCCGCCCCAGCTGTTTGGCGTGACGGCTACGCACCCCCCCCAGGTGAGTGCCCGAGCAAAGCGTGCGGGTGGGAGGGGGCGAGGAGTCCCGCCCCGCCCCGCCCCCCCGCACAGCGCTACCCCTACGCTAGAAACGGCCCCGTGGGCTCAGTCCGGGCCCGGCTCGCAGGCACGCGCCGCTCGGTGCGGGAGGGGAGCCCCTGTCACGTACAGGGCGTGTCGGGGAGGGGAGAGGAGCTGGGGGACGCAGGCCGGGTTTGGGGTGAGCCCCGCAGAGCTGGGAACTGAACACGGGCAGCCAGGAGATGCCGGGGGGGGGCGGGAATTGCCTCCCCTGTTTGTGCCACGCGCCTCTCACCTGCGGGTACCGACCCCCCCCCCCGCGCTACAGTCAGTGACTCCCCGGGCCCTGCTCGGGCTGCGGCTCCGGGACCCCCCCAGGCTAGACAGGCTGCGATGGGTTTGCTGGGAGAGACCCGGGGTCTCTTCGCCCCTCCCCCCGGGGTTCCTGCCTGTCGTGTAGAAAAGCTGCTACCTATGAGATTGCGCTTCTTGGGACGACTTTAGGAGCAGTGCGCATGCTCACTCGCTCTGTTGAAGCCACTGCCCTTCGCCCTGCCCACTCTATCAAGCTTTTGCTTCAGAGGGGTAGTAGCTGAGTTAGTCTGTAACAGGATAAGCTTAAAAAACAATGAATAGTCTAGTAGCACCCTAAAGACTAAAAACCATGTAGATGGTGCCATGAGCTTTCCTGGGCAAAACCCTTTTGCTTTTTAAAAGGGAGGAAAGGGGCTAGACAGAGGAGGGGGGTGAAAACTGACTGGGGCTGCAGGCAGGGTTAGAATCGGTGCTGGGGCCAGCTCAGGGCTGGTGTGGGGAGGAACAGCAGGTAAGTTCCCGCTGCTGGAAGGACATAGTGGGGAAAGCCCTAGGCAGGGCAGGAGGGGTTAAAACAGTCACCCTCATAGGAGCGAGGCACCAAAGAGTAGATGTGGCAGGGTTTTTAAAATTTGCTTAAACCAGCTTTTTTAATAGTTGCCACAAATTGGAGGCACTAAGCATGCTCAGTAGGGCTGCAGAAGCCCTTTTCCCTGCCCACGTTGGCTATGTCTAGACTGGCATGATTTTCTGCAAATGCTTTTAACGGAAAACTTTTCCGTTAAAAGCATTTGCGGAAAAGAGCATCTAGATTGGCACAGATGCTTTTCCGCAAAAGCACTTTTTGCAGAAAAGTGTCCGTGCCAATCTAGACACGGATTTGCGCAAGAAAGCCCCGATTGCCATTTTCGCGATCGGGGCTTTTTTGCGCAAAACAATACCACGTTGTATACACTGGCCCTCTTGCGCAAAAGGGCTTTTGCCCAAACAGGAGCAGCATAGCATTTCTGCAAGAAGCAATGATTTCAGACAGCAGGAAGTCAGTGTTCTTGCGGAAATTCAAGCAGCCAATGTAGACAGCTGGCAAGTTTTTCTGCAAAAGCATCAAGCTTTTGCAGAAAAACTTGCCAGTCTAGACGCAGCCACTATGTAGAAGTTATTGCTTACTACATTTTTAAAGGGTTTTAAAATGGAGAAAAGGGGTTAAACAGAGGAGGGGGATGGAAATTGACTGGGCAAGGGAGGTTAATAAGAAAATGCTACTGGTAGCACATTTCTATAAGGTAGCAGCTTTCTGCATTACACTGGCAGGGTGCAGAAATGTTGGTGCCCAGAGGCTGCATCCCTCCCTGCCTCCTGGTCTGCTTAAGTCTCTGGGATGGAGTCTGGGGTTCAGGCTCTGGAAGGGAGTCTGGGTGCTGGGTGCAGGCTCTGGGAAGGAGGATGTAGGGTCAGGGTCTGGTGGATGCAGGAGCGGGGGCTGGGGTGTAAGCTCTGGGACAGAGTATGTGGGGCAGGGAGTGGGGGTGCAGATGGGGTGAGGAGTGGAACTCTGGGGTGGAGTTTTGAGGGGGCTGGCAGTCAGTGTTCCCTGTAAGCTGAGTGCTTGGGCACTCAGGAAAGATTTACATGCCACCCTGCTGCTGAGCCAAGCACCCACATCTGGCCGCATGTGTGTCTACTAGTGACACACATCTGCGCGTGCCTCGGTGCACATAACAAAATTATTCTGCACCTGGATGGAAAAAATTAGAGGAAACTTGGCGGGTGCTGTGTGTGAGGCAGTTTGCAGGTTGTAGGAGAAGAGAGGGAGTTTGGGGGCAAGAAGTGGCACAGGGGAGGGCTGGGATGCAGGAGGGAGTTTGGGGATGGGAGAGGAAGAAACACCTAAGAACATAAGAATGGTCACACTGGGTCAGAGCAAAGGTCCATCTAGCCCAGTATCCTGTCTGCCAAGTGGCCAATGCCAGGTGCCCCAGAGGGAGGGAACACAACAGGTAATCCCCATGTGATCCTCCCGTCACCCACTTCCAGAGACTTCCTAGGAGCCATTGTGAGGGGAGAGGGATGGCAATCTCCCCAATGCTGCTCCCCACAGGCACTGCCCCGTACCTCCCATTGGCTGCAGGGGCGCTCAGGCAGCATGCAAAGACACACACCCCTCACCCAGGGCTGCAGGCACATGTTGGTAGCCCTGGCAAGCCACGCTAATCTCACTGCCACTGCTAGTGGCATGGCAGGGTGCCCACAGACCCTTTAAAATTACCTGGGGGCAGCAGGTGGTTGAGGACATGTATGGGAGGTGGGCAGAGGCAGCAGGCAGGACTGGGAGAGAGACCCAGACCCAGAATTTAGTGGAGCAGGGTTCCTGGGCCAGGGCTATTTTGGGAGCCTGTGCACCATGGCCCATATAACCCACTGCCCCTTCCCATGACTAATAGGGCTGTTAGTGGGCAGCAGGTGCTGAGCAAAGGGGCTCTTGCTCTTTCAGGTGCTGGTGACCTTCGAGGAGGTGGCTGTGTATTTCACCAGGGCCGAGTGGGCTCTGCTGCCCCCTGCTCAGAGAGCCCTCTACAGAGCCGTCATGCAGGAGAACTATGAGTACATGACCTCACTGGGTAAGAAGTCCTGTCCCCGTGGTTCTTAGAAGGGGAAAGGCAGAGTTTATGTTCGTGTCACCGCCACACAATGTAAACTTAACTCTGCCCTGTCTCAGCATCACCCCAACATGCTGTGCAACACACGTTTTGCTATCCAAGGGCAAAACATCCAAGAAGAACATCTGCAGAAGTCAAGAAAAACACAGCACACATTATCTGAAAGCTACCAGAGGGAGGGCCCAATTTCAGATCCATGGGTGTAGTTCTGGTTTCATGGCCACAGCACATCCCTGATGTTGTTCAGTCAGGGCAAACTAGTGAATTGGGCAGATGACCCAAATTGGTAATTACTTCTTATAATTAGATCTACCAAGCCAGCAACAAAACAGCTTCAACAATAACTTCCTAGTTACTCAGAAGCCAGAAATACTGTTCCCTTGAAACAGTCTGGCCTTGGGCTCCCACACAAACAGGCAAGTTAAATACGATAAAGATTATTGATAAGCTTGTTCAGCCTATAAAAAGTTCTGCCAATCCAAAGGCTCAGACACGTTACCCACCAGGTCAGTGACTATTTCAGATCCCACTCAAATATACACTTACAGCCTGTCCTCATTTCTTTCAAAAGGGAATGTTAGTTAAAAGATCATTAGTACAGATATGAAGTGAGTTCTTAGCTCAGTCTGACTGGGGAGATGGTGAGCTTTAGAGATGCAAAAACTCACTGCAGAGTTTAGTTCCGTGGGTCACAGTCCAATAGGGGGTGACCCAGACTGGAGCTGAGGGTCTCTGCCTTGTCACACAAACTTGCTCAGCCGACACAGACAGATCTGAGATGATGAGATTGGGGCCCACTGGGTTTTTCCATAGCTCTCTGGCATCCTTTGGGTGCAGCCTCGCAGCTTAAGCTGGATCTCCAATTTCCCACGTATTCGCTGATAACAAGCTGCATTGCTCAGCATGAGGCAGAGGTGAAAGGATGCCAGTGCACCCCATTGCAGTGCTCTGGCAAGAAGCCAGCCAGCTGGGACTGTCTCAGCCTTGAGCCGCCCTCTCCCTCCACTGCCAGTTTGGGTGGAGAAGAGGGAGCTGTAGTCACACATACCAGTCCCTGTGTGTTGTTTTTCTAGAGCCTGCTACATTCCTCTCCCTCCCAGCTGCCCTGGGGAGAGGCAGAGGAAGAACACAGCAGGCTCTGCACTTTCCCCTTGCTCCATAGTCATGGCAAACAGAGAAAGCAACACACAGGGACCGGTATGTGTGGCTGCAACTCCTCTTCCTCCCACCCTCTGAAATGGTGCCCTTGCCCCTCCCCACTCACCCAGCCCCCTGCCCTGAATCCTGCACCCTCCTCATATCCCCTCCTCCAAGCTCTTCCTCATACCCCCCCAACCCTCTGCCCTGCGCTCCTCACATACCCAAACCCTGACTCCTGCATCCTTGTCCCCAGTCCGCTGCCTTAACTCCTGCACCCTCTACACATCCCAACACTCTGCCCTGAGCCTCCCACACTCTACTCCACACTTACATTTCTTACAGGCACTGCTGTAGTCCCTTCTTGAATGTTTTCCCCCTCAAAGTGGGGTGGGTAGTGGTAGGGCAGTACCTGTAAGAAATTTAAGTTACTTTCACCCCGGCATAAGGTAATTCCATTCAGCAGTTCATAGTCAGTTTACTGGAGACTTCAAGAAGATGAATAGACAATGAAATTACTACACCCAAAAAACATCAAAATGTTTCTATTCCCTAGTGAGCTCAGAATCAATGGAATACAGTGACTAACAGGAACTGTCTGTTTACAAGGTTAGCATCTAACAGGATACAAGTAAACACAGACTATTAGTATTGCCTCATATTGTCTAACAGTTCTGGTTTGCATTTCAAAGCTTAAACAGAGTGACGTTAGCTTTTTATAAGCCCAGGTTCCCATTTACAGGACTATGTAGCACTTTAAAGACTAACAAGATGATTTATTAGATTATGAGCTTTCGTGGGCCAGACCCACTTCCTCAGATCAAATAGTGGAAGAAAATAGTCACAACCATATATACCAAAGGATACAATTAAAAAAAATGAACACATATGAAAAGGACAAATCACATTTCAGAACAGAAGGGGTAAATGTCTGTGAGTTAATGATATTAGAGGTGGGGAAGGGTAGATGTCTGTGAGTTAATGGTATTAGAGGTGATAATTGGGGAAGCTATCTTTGTAATGGGTAAGGTAGTTGGGGTCTTTGTTCAGCCCCCCGCGGAGAGTGTTGAATTTTAGCATGAATGCCAGTTCAGAGGATTCCCTTTCAAGTGCAGATCTGAAAGTCTTCTGAAGTTGGATGCATGTGATTAGGTCATTGAGACAGTGTCCTTTCTGGTTGAAATGGCAAGAAACTGTTTTTTCTTTGTGATCCTGTCTAATGTCTGTTTTGTGACAAATGTCCCATGAATTCCCCTGCCCTCCCTTGTTTCTGTTCCCTGGAGCAGAATGTCCAGTTCCCAAGCCTGATGTGATTTCCCAGCTGGAACAAGGGGAGGAGCCGGGGGTCCCAGAGCTCCAGGGCTTTGTGGATGGAGAGATCCCAACAGGTGCCTGTGCAGGTGAGGGATCATTAAACCAACTCAAAAACTCTTCGTGTCTGGAGCAAACAGCTGGGACTCCCTGAACAAACTGTATAAGTAATCATAGTCCCCAGGAGGCCTTGTGTCCTTAGGGCAGCTGTAGTTCCTGGCTTCCGACCCATCCTGGCAGCAGCTCCCTCTCTGTGGGGTTGTGGAGGCAGAACTCGGTTCTATGGGGACAAGTTTCAGAACTCAGCTAGTAGGTTTCTTTTCTGTCTCTCCAACTCTAACTTCTGTTTGTTTTCCCCTTTCCAACTCCTCTTTCTGAGGTTTCTCTCTCTGTTCCACCAGGTGCTGGGATGGGGAGTGAGAACCAGGAACTGAGCCCTCAGCAGGCAGATGCCAAGCGAGTGGAACCACATGGGGGATTAGCACAAGGCTCCAAAGGGAATGGATCCAGGCGTTGTGCGCAGGGGGCAGCCTGTGGGAGTCAGCACAGGCCAGAGTGGGAGCACGGCAACCTGCCCAGTGAGGAAGTGGATGAATCCATTAATTATCAGGGAACTGACCAAGATCTCAAGGAAACCACAGCCCAGAACAGAATAACTTCTGGAGAAAGAAAAAACTCATGCATGGAGTGTGGGAAAATCTTCACTCTGAACTCCACCCTCATTAAACATCAGAAGATCCACATGAGAGAGTGCCCCTATACATGCAGTGAGTGCGGGAAACAGTTTAGGGAGAATTCAAAACTCACTGAACATCAGAAAATCCACACAAAAGAGAGACCCTACGAGTGTCGTGAGTGTGGGAAAAGCTTCACTCGGAGCTCAACCCTTACGAGACATCAGAGGATGCACACAGGAGAGAGACCGTATGAATGCCTTGAGTGCGGGAAGAAATTCACTCAGAGCTCAATTCTTATGAACCATGAAAGAATGCACACAGGAGAGCGACCCTATATATGCTGTGAATGCGGGCAAACTTTCTCACATAGCTCAGCCTTATATAAACATGAGAAGATCCACACAGGAGAGCGCCCCTATGAATGCTGTGAGTGTGGGAAACAATTCATTGAGAAATCAAAATGTATTAAACATCAGACAAGCCACACAGGAGAGAGACCCTACGAGTGCTGTGAGTGCGGGAAACACTTCAGTGAGAAATCCAGCCTTACCAAACATCAGACAAGCCACACAAGAGAGAGACCCTATGAATGCAGTGAGTGTGGGAAATGTTTCTCGCGGAGTTCCTCCCTTATTAGACATCACAGGATCCACACAGGAGAGAGACCTTATAAATGCTGTGAGTGCGGGAAGAAGTTTACTCAGAACTCAGGCCTTATTAATCATCAGAGAATTCATGCAGGAGTGCGACCCTATACATGTGGTGAGTGTGGGAAACACTTCAGTGAGAAATCAAACCTTACTAAACATCAGACAAGCCACACAAGGGAGAAACCTTATGAATGCTGTGAGTGCGGGAAAAAGTTCACTTGGAGCTCCTCCCTTATTAGACATCAGATGATTCATATAGGAGAGTGATCTGAACATGTGAGTTCGGAAACACTTTTCTTTAAAACTCAGCCCTTTTTAAACATAAGAGAATTCACAGAGGAAAGCACCATATGCACACTGTGAATGTAGGAGAAGTTTCATTTGGAACCCACATCTTAAGAGATTCAGATTCTTCACAGGACAGATGAATACCATAAAAACTTTGTCTAGGGCTTCCAAAAGCCACTTGTTAATTCCCACACAGTGACCTTTTAGGGTTGTGTGCACCTTTTGCATTAGGGATGTTAAATATTGGTTAATTGAATAGTCAATTAACCTAATTAATTCTTCTTGATTACTGGACTATTCTATAGTCCTCGGGGGGTGGGGCCAGTAGCCAGTGCACTCCAGCCCCACTCCTGAGGAGCCCCCTGCCACTCCACACTGTTGCCTCTGTATCAGAGGCAGCAGCACGTGGTGCCAGGCGGGAGCTAGTCCATGAGGGAAGCCAGTTTAAAAGCCAGCTCCCCTCACAGACCAGCTGCCTGCTGCCCTGTGCTGCTACCTCTAATACAAAGGCAGCAGCATGGGGTGGCAGCAACTCCTGTCTGTGAGACTGAGCTCCCAGACCTGGCACAAACTGTAACTGAGCCGGACTGCCTGCCCACCTGACTTCTAATACACTTTAAATGCAGAGCTGCAGCGGGGGTAGGTCCCAGACCCGGTGCAAGCCAGGACTGAGCCAGGCTGTTGGCCAGCCTTCTAAAAAAATTACTGGCAAGGGGTGGCAGAGGGAATGTGTGTAGTCTATAGCATTAACCTATAAGCTTTTGATTATCAGTTAATTGACTACATTATTACATCCCTAATTTGCATCACCATGTTCACTCAGTTTTCCCCAGTATGTGGCCCCCTTTTGCAGCTTGCCTTTCTTTGGGGTGACTCTTGACTCTTTGGGGTGAACTCCTTTGTCCTGTGACTCTCAGGAGTGTGTTTTCTTCCTGCCAGGAATGCTGGTCAGTCCCAGACAGGGGAAACTGGGGTGACCTCGAGTAACTCCACTAAGCCAAAATTGACCTGGGCTTTGCCACGTCTAGTATTCTCCATGGAGTTGGCCAATTTTCCAGTTCTGGACAAGCCCTCAGCATCACCTTTATACTGCCACTCCCCCAACACCCAGCAGAGTGATTGTTAGTCACCAAGTTCCCTCTTAGGTGATGGATTGTCTCCTTCTCCGGTGGTCTCAGGTTGTGCTGGGCAGCAGCTTATTTGTCTCAAAACCATTGCCCTTCTGTAAAATACATTTCAAGATCACAAAGAGAAGGAGCAGTAGTGGGATGCCCCCACCAGTTCCAGCAAAGAGTGATGAAGGGTAGAGCTTCTTCCCAAAACCCCACCCCCACGCTCTCCTCTCTGCCTCCTTTCCTTATTACTTACCCTTATGGCAGATAAAGAGTCATGAAGCCATGGCCCCCATTCCGCCCCGCATTCTGGCATGCTGACTTGGATTTCTTGTTGTTACATGAAACAAGAACAAATATCAAAACATCAGAAATTCTCTGTTGGATCCAGCTCTGCTAGGAAGCCTTGCCTAGAGCGGAGGGGGCTGTTTCCCTCCCAACCATCCTAATGTGCAAGTGTTATGGAATAAGACTTTACAATATCACTATTACCTGGCATTGCCTGGGTCCTTCAGAGCAGGAGACTGGCAGTGTGTGGGGTTCAGGAGTCAGGGGTTTGGGGGGGGGGGATGGGGAGGGAGATGTGAGAGTGAGAGCTGGGAGTGAGAAGAGGCTCAGAGTTGGAGATCCCACCTGGCGCCAGCCTTTTGTCTCTCCCGAGCCCTCCCCTCTGGCTGCCAGGGACCTTTGTTCTCCCCCTCCAACCGCCAGCCACCAAGGGCCATTTCTCTCCCCCCCCAGTTCCCTCCCCTCAGTCACCAGGGATATTTCTCTCCCTCCCCCACCCCCAAACACTCCTCTGGCCACCAGGGTCTTTTCTTTCTCTCCCCCTCAGCTACAGTGTTGCCAACCTGGGTTGTCAATTCCTGGCTCCTGGCCACATTTATTGGTAACACATATATCAATCCACACTTATCATATTCATATGCTCTATTATCACACTCATGCACTCACACACTCAGGTTATGGCTACACTGAACTTTTTCGAGAAGAGGAAATGCAAATGGAGCAAAAAGGATCAGAAGAGAAAGTTCATAGTGTAGCCGTAGCCACACACAAGAGCACACTCTCTCTCCTTGTTATTACCAATAGTTGCTACTCCTAACTTCCCTGGCTAGGTGAGTTAAGTGGGAGAGGGGTGGAGACAGACTTCTGCTGATCCAGATCCGTGCTTCTATGGTGATAAGACAAAAACTCGGGGTCCCCCTACAAAATACCTTAGATTTATGGGCTGCGTCTAGGCTGGCAAGTTTTTCACAAAAGCAGCTGCACTTGCTGCTTGTCTACACTGGCTGCTTGAATTTCTGCAAGAACGCTGCCGATCTCATGTAAGATTGTCAGTGTTCTTGTGGAAATGCTATGCTGCTCCCGTTTGGGGAAAAGCCCTCTTGTGCAAATGCTTTTGTGCAAGAGGGCCAGTGTAGACAACGCAGTATTGTTTTGCGCAAAAAAGCCCCGATGGCAAAAATGGCGATCAGGGCTTTCTTGTGCAAAACCGTGTCTAGATTGGCACAGATGCTTTTCCACAAAAAGTGCTTTTGTGCAAAAGCGTCCATGCCAATCTAGACGCTCTTTTCCACAAATGCTTTTAACGGAAAAACTTTTCCATTAAAAGCATTTGCGGAAAATCATGCCAGTCTAGATGTAGCCATAGTGTCTTCCCGCTCCTGCAAATTTATACCAGTTAGTCATCACCTGCATATGCAAGATCTGTGTGAATCATCATATGCATATGCAGTTAGACATCTGTGGCGCCTTCTTCTGTGGGGTGTCTCCATGCTGCTACCACCATCTTCAAAGAGGGGGCTTCCAAAACAGGCCCTTTACTCTCAAGGTGTCCTTTTTTCAAATCTTTCAATGAGCCCATTTCATAGGTCTTATTGTCCTTGGATCTGGCTTCCCTCTCCTTTCCAACCTGAGGTGCCTGCCTTCCAGGCCTTATCCATTCACACCTCCTTCATTCAACTGGGCAATCAATTAAGCAAAAGGGGAGAGATCCATTCTGGTACAAAGACATTCTCTTTACCTTACTTATTTTTAGGGACTATTCTACCTAGACTTAATACAAAGTTTCTATGTTCTATATGAAAAGATACCTAGTTTCTATATAAAAGACTTAATACAAAATTTATGTAAAAGCACTTGATACAAAGTTAAAAACTTACTACAGAGATTATTATATGAAGATGATACACACTCCTATGAAAATGATTAATATAGAGATTTATCTACACTGGTCTCACAGCTATGCCAACATGTCCATATTAGACCCAGAGGGTGAGAAGGGACCACAAGGGTCATTGGCCTCCATGCCAAGAGGCCAGATTAGTTGTGTGTAAACCATCCAAGACAGATGGCTTCCCATACCGCAGTCCATATCACACTGCATGGCCCTTGGGACTCAGTTCTGCAGCTTGAGCTGCATCTACACTGCACAGTGACAGGGCTGGGGTTTCACAGTAGGACACCAGTTCTGACCGACCCCACCTGCAAAGTTCTAGAATTGGCACCCTGAGCATTTTCTAACCTAAGTCACATTGAGCTGTGTGTGGATGGAAGGCGGGTTTGGGCTCAAACCTGAGTTAGAATTGGGGTGCCGTGAGCAGTGTAGACAGACCTGTTTCCCTGGGGAAAGCTATAGAGAACGAGTGACCTCTCTGCATTTGAAGATGCAGCATTTATGCGCTCCTAATAAATAACAGACAGCATTGAAACGAACACCCGCCTCCATCAATATCCGCATCTACCTGGAACATACCCAGAGCTGTGAAATTTGACTAGCCAATTGGATCAAAAGAGGTAACAGCATGAAACAAGCTTTAGTGGTGCAGCTGTGGTGTTATAGCTTTAGGGGTGCAGCGGAGTGGGAGAAGCAATCGAGCCCTATTGCATTTGGGTTTAATGCACAGGGACTGCCTGCAAGGTGGATAATTCAGTAATGGACCCTGAAGACCTTTACATGGGATCAGACATCTGGTTCCAGCCCCTCCAGAGGTTACTGGCTTCATTCAGGGATCACTGGGCTAGGTGGGTCAGACTTGGGGCTCATCATTATCCCTTCTGGCTGTATGAGCCTATGGCTGTGTCTAGACTGCATCCCTTTTGCGGAAAAGGGATGCAGATTAGACACATCGCAATTGCAAATGAAGCGGGGATTTAAATCTCCCACGCTTCATTTGCATGAACATGGCTGCCGCTTTTTTCCGGCTCGGGGCTTTGCTGACAAAAAGCGCCAGTCTAGACGGGGATCTTTTGGAAAATAAAGCCTTTTCCAAAAGATCCCTTGTTCCTGATTTTAAGAGGAATAAGGGATCTTTCGGAAAAGGCTTTATTTTCTGAAAGATCCCCGTCTAGACTGGTGCTTTTTGCTGGCAAAACCCCGAGCCGGAAAAAAGCGGCAGCCATGTTCATGCAAATGAAGCGTGGGAGATTTAAATCCCCGCTTCATTTGCAATTGCGATGTGTCTAATCTGCATCCCTTTTCCGCAAAAGGGATGCAGTCTAGACACAGCCATAGGCTCATACAGCCAGAAGGGATAATGATGAGCCCCAAGTCTGACCCACCTAGCCCAGTGATCCCTGAATGAAGCCAGTAACCTCTGGAGGGGCTGGAACCAGATGTCTGATACCATGTAAAGGTCTTCAGGGTCCATTACTGAATTATCCACCTTGCTTAAACTGGACACTTTATTTCCAGTTTTGGGTCAATGGGGCAGATCCCAGCCAGTGTCAATGGAGTGACAATGATTTTCCTTGCCATGGACATGCCCTCTGGACCAGGGCAGAGATCCACCCTGTGAATCAGCTGAGCTATGCAGGGTCCCAAAGGGAGGAAGCAACATGCAAAGCAGCATATTTCAGGGCTCTTCCAATCCAGCCCCCCAAACTCTCCCCTACCTGCGCACTGGTGACAGCGACAGGCCAGGCCAAGCTGCAGCAGATCATGGTGAGGGACATGGCGCTCAGCCAGGGTCTGCAGTGTGGAGGAGACAGCTGATGGGTGACTCCCAGGGGAACGCCGCACCACGGCGCAATGCAGAATTTCCCAGCATTCCCTGTTCAGCCCATGTAATTTCTGGCTGCCATTAGGGGTCTGTTGGAGTCTGAGGAGCCAGCTCCCAGTGAGCAGAGCACCCAGCCTGATGGGGCTGGAGGCTGCATGCTCTACCTTATCCTCATTGTCCTGGGGATGGGAGAGGCCCTATGAGACCCTCCCCGCAAGGTCTGGCAAAGAGGGAGGAAAGGCAGGTCTGCACCACACCATGTTCACTGATGGGACA